CGTTATGCTTCTTCTCCATATTTTGTCGTATAACTCGATCTGGTCTTATATCATTTATGTGCTCATATTGTTCTAAGAAAGACTTGGCTAGATCTTTCCAGGTCTTGATATGAGATCGGTTCATGTGATTGTACCATCGGATGGCTGAACCAGACATGCTCCTGGAAGTAATGAATCAGGACTTGATCATTTCCTATATATCCTATCATCTTTCGACATAACATGGTGATGTGAAATGAGGGGTAATTATTTCCATTGAATTTCTCGAACTCAGGGACTAATTTTTTGGGAAAGCACCAAATCCGGGACCAAGCTTAGTTCTAGGGCATCGACCCCATAATAATCATGGTCCCTTTTAACCACCTTTATTTGGTCTTTCAGCAGCTTGATTTTTTCTTCTATCTTCTTCACCTTGTCTTCTTCATCAAAATCCAATATATGGTAATCATCTGGATTATTTTTAGGGTTAGATACAGAGGTTTGTATCTTCACAGATGATAAGACTTTCACTTTTGCAGCGAATGATTCCCCTTGTAGTCCGGGTAAGATTCTAGGTGAGATAACCACATACGGGGTAGGTGGAATAGCTACCCCATCAGACGACCCTGCACAAGGCGCACTTGTTTGATGTAAGCCAGATAACTTGGCTACAATCTGATCAACCAAGGACTCTTGACTCTTAGTGATTGTATCCAGAGTACTTTGATTGTTCTGGTTTATCTTTTCTTCTAACTCCCTTTGCAACTTCAACATGTTCTCCTAGAGTTGAGTGATTTTGGCTTCCATTTGTGTTTTCTTTGTGTGGGTGTTGTGAGGATAATGTGTATCCAAAGCTTATGGAGATAAACTCAGTGTTTGTTTTCTCTTCTGATGAGACATTTTCTGTTAGTTAATGTGAATGTAAAAACATGGAAAATAAAAAATAAACATGGAAAATAAAAAAGCAAAGTATGAAATGCATGATGTATGAGAGTTAGAGGCATTGATCCAGAAATGTGTTAGTTATTATAAATAATCTTTATTGAGACAAAAGTGTTTTATTTTTTAAGAGACAAAAAATATACTAAAGGTACATTCTGACTAAATCCTCTAAACCCCGAATAACTTCTAACAGGTTGACAAGTCTTCTTCCTTCATCTTTCACTGGTTGAATGCCTTGTCGGACCACTCCAACTTCTCTTGCTAAACCACGTAAATGACGGGTTGCCTTTTGTACTTGCTCTAAGAAATCTCGGATGATTGTATCTCTAGCTTTCACTCTTTCTTGAGCCTATTCCCAACGAAAATACCACTGTAACCATCCATCAAAGGGTACTATTTGAAGCTCGGTTTCTTATTTCTTTAATCTATCCACAACGGCCTCAAACTCAGCTAAGGTTTTACCATCACGTTCTTGTTGTTTCTGAATAGACTTCTCTAAATCAGCTACCTAGATTCTCAAACACTTTTTCTGGTGATGGTTGTTTATCAAACGCCTCTAAGAAGTCTTTAGTTGTTCTTTTAAGATCTCTCTCTCATCATGTCCTTCAAACTTCCTTTTTAGGCTGCTAGCTTCACTTTTCCAGTACTTAGAATATCTTTTCAGATTATAATTGCTCTTAACTAGTTCTTGGTACACTTTTCTCAAGTCCTGAGCTCAAAACTGGTTTTCTTCTGTTCCTTCTCTAACTTGTTTGCCTGATCCTTCTGAGCATCAACATCTAATTTCCACTGGAACCTTTTAGTCTCAAGTTCCCTTACCCTATATTTCGACTCGTTCTTTACAGCTTCAAATTCTTTTCTTGTTATCTCTAGCTCGGAAGGAACAAGCTTAAGATGTTATTCCATGGTCTGGGTGTTTTGATGGTCCGGCACAAGGATATTACCATTTTTCCTTAACCTCTTCCATTTCAAATAGTCTAGAGTAAGCATGTCCTTGGCATCAACTACATCCATTCGGAACACTTTCTTCCATGACTCAGCTACTTCCTTGACCTTTTTCCTGTAGTTGTCCCCATGGTACGCAAATTCTGATCCAGATATTCCGTCTGTTGCTGGGACAAACAGGTGTGCCCCGTACTGTCAAAGTGTTAAAAGTGGAGAATATCCAACTCCTCCTTATAATCTAAGTAGTTTCATAGTATTTGAATCCCCACATCGGAAAAGAATATCACTGTGGGTTAACCAAGGAGCTCTCAAGGCAATATCTCTATCCCGAAGATATGTGAATACATTCATCCACTTTTCTTTTGAGGTGCCTTCTTACCATTTCAGAGTAACGGATTCCCCCAAAGGTGAATAGCTAGTACTGAATTGGCGGTAAGTAATCCCGTTAGTCTTTTAAAAATGACTATGGATCTAAACTTGGACACCCTACAAATCTTCCTCTGCCAGTATTTCTGCAGTGGTTGAGAGAGCAAAAGTTTTCAGCTAACATTTCCGGTGTTGGATTTACTCGCCTCAAGAGTTGTTCAAACAGTTCCACCACAGCTACATCAATGTACCCCAAAGTCTTCTGGAAGATAATCAAACCATAAAGGCCCATCGCAAAAAGATCTATTACCTTCCATTCATCAGGATGGGTATTCATTAGTTGCTTGATATGGGTCCAAGCAATTCTTTCCCCTCAACCCTTGTGTCGAACCCGATCAATTAACCATTTTTCGTCTAACCCGCAACCTTTTCCAGTCCGTTCTTAAAAGGCTGACTTTTGATGTGCTTGATGTAGACTCGCTCCATCCTGATTCCTCGCAATGTAGCATTATAGTATATTCTTCAATTTTGGGCAGCATGTCCTCCTGGTTAAAGGTGAAACAGTTGTACCCCGGATCTAAAATTGTACCAAGGCTTTAATTAGGGGCTCATCTATCTTCACATAGAGTATGAGTACGATATCACCATACCGTTGGCTGAACTTCTGCTTATGATCACTCTTCCAGCTGTCCCAAATGCTCCGTAGCTCTTAAACATCATTTTGTTTTAGGCTAACAGAAGCATAGCTAACCAGTTCAAACATATAGCTTCCTTACAGATTGTCTCATTTTTTTTCTGAGTCTTTTCGGACCATAGTCGTACCTCGACATTTTTCACATCTTGCATTGCAACCACTTTGTCAATTAATGCAAATTATTTGTGTGTAATGAACTCCTTTTTATGGATGAAGGACCCCTTTTTATGATGCAAATGATAGAAAGGAAAGCATAAAAGAAAAATTAGTTAGTAAGATAATAATTATAATAATAAAGTGAAAAATAACAAATTGCATGATAAAAGCAGAAAAAAACCCTAGGTTTTGAAATGAAGTTTCAGTGTAGGCTCTAATTCCTTGTAGTCTCCAGGTTTAGGTTTTAAAGAAGGTACCCGAGTTCTCCTCGCTGGTGCCCCTTGGGATTGCAAGACCCTTAGTCCTAAGGCCATTAAAAGCTTATGTGGACTAAGTTAAACTCGAGAGGATACATTCCCTTATGTCTATACGGAGAATAAATTCACACAAAGACATAAGGTATATGAATCCCGAAGGTTACTTGCTAGGCCTATGCAGAGAATAAATTCTCACAAAGGCGTCACTTTCACCCCAACTTAAAAAGGGTTCAGAGCTTGGGTATAGAGCCTTTGATTGAAAAAAAAATTTAATAAGCTGAAACCATTGAAAGAAAATGTCAGTACAACTGTTTATTTGAAAAGATAATCAAAGGTAAGTAATAAGGATAAAAAAATTAACTTAAAATTTAAACTTACACTTTTCACTTAAAAAGACAACTGGAAATTAACCTTAGCCTGACTCACTTACCTATCCCCAGCGGAGTCGCCAAGCTGTCACAACCGTCTTTCGGGTAGGCCCAGAATTGGGCTTCAATTGAAATAAGTGGGTTAGAGTCACCACTGATAATTTATTTTAAAAAATGGGTTGATCGAATACCTTGATTTCTTACTTGATCTACATCTTACCAATGATATGTCAGATTCGGGAGTCGGTTACAATCAAGTAAGGATTAGCACCCTTGAACTGCCCTTCCGATACTAATTTAATTTATAGTCGTGAGCTCCTCCAAAGGTGAGAAAAAGTTTATTTTCAATTTTTGAGCAATTTCCTTTGGATTTTGAGTTATACCGAGAAATAAAAAATTGTTCTACGCGAAAAACGCTATCTTTTGGTAGCATTTATGCTTGCTAATCTTGCTTGATTTCAAAGATCCAAAATTCTATGGTTTATGTTCATATTAGGGTTAATGGAATTGATGATGAATCTATAACATCAAAAAGATTAAAACATGTTTTTGATGTTATAGATTCATTTTCTTTTTCAAGCTTGTGTGATGATTAAAACATGTTCAATCTTCCTATAAATTATTCTTTAAGATTCGACCAAACTATAACTTGGGGAAACTTTGTGTTTTGATCAAATTTGATTAGAGATTTGATTTTATAGATGTTATAAGGTTGGATGAAGGTTGATTTCATACTTGAATTCGAATCAAAATCAAGCCAAATCATGAAAAACCTAGTCCAAAAGCTTTAGAGCATTCGACCATGTCTTGTTTGGATGAGAAAAATTATGGAAAATTTATGTAAGGGTTGGAAATGATGTAGGAAGTATTCTAGATTCCTAATAAAAATATGGGGACAATTTGGTGATTTTTGAAAAGTTAGGGGCCAAATCGGTAATTTTTAGAAAATAATGGGTTGTTGTGTAATTATTCTATAATTGATTTACTATGCTTGAAATTTCTATTTGCGAATTAAAATGAGTGTTAAGATGTGAGATTTGATCATTTTGGAAGTTTAGAAAGTTTGGTAATCTATATGTAAAATTTGAATAGTTTAGGGTGTTTAATTGTAATTATGGCTTTGTATATGTACTTGGGTGGTAATTATTTCAATTCTGGAATTTTTGGTATTGAAAGTTTAAGTGGTAAAATGGTTAAGGATCATTTTATATAAGTTGGAAAGGTTGGTACCAAGATTAAAAGATTTAATAAGTGTTGAAGTATTTTTATAGTGAATAAGTTTCAAGTATGAATATGGATTTTGTTTTGGAATATGGACTTTGTGTTCGAAGCGAATTGAGTATAAAAAGGATTAAGTTTGAGCATAGTGAGGTAAATCTTTTGAAAATTTTAAAGTGTCAAGGTGAGTGCAATGCATGCATAACATTATACATGGATGTTTTATACATCATCATGAAGACTTGCAATGAGTCTACCTTGTTTATATCATCATGATATTATGTCATTATTCATAATATCGACATGACCTTGATATGTCAAAGCATGAAATCATAATGCATTGATCACTGATAAATATGATATTTTGCCAAGAATGTTATTTCGAGAATGAATTGTCCTAATATTAATTATATGGATATGTGATTCCATGGATGAATTAAATTATACTATATGCCCAAGTAAGTTGTTGAATGACAGGGTATAGTTGGCATGCCATAGAGTATAACAGCTGCAGGTTTATACCACCACTAGTGTGTAAAGACATTTAGTGCAGCACTATAGTGTGTAAGCGGAATTGCCCATCCAACTCAGTTGGTAAGATCGCAAGGCTCTTAACCTTGTGGTCGTGGGATCGAGTCCCACGGTGGGCAATTCATAATTCTGACTACCGGAGGTCTCTCACGGAAGCTGCTCTCCCTTACCCCATTACATATGGGAATAGGGTAAGCTAATTTACTATAGTGTGTAAGGGCACTAAGTGCATATGGTGGGATGACCTTATGTGTATTATGGTGGGAACGACCTTTTGTGTATTAGTACTTCGGTGCATATATTACTCGAATACCCAGTGTCTTCATAGGTTTACGTTTGGGCTATAGTTATTGGTAAAAATGATTATATTTATATCATGTCATTTTGATTATGGTAAAATATTAGACATGCACTTAATATGATCTTATGGCATTGGAAAATGACATTTAATTTCATGCATGTGTTGTATTGCACTGTTTATTATTTTAATTGCCTAACAAAGTATATACTTAGCGTGTGATGATTTTCACAAGTACGTAAAGATCAAGAGTATGAGTAAGGAGAACTGAGCAACCCCAACCATCGTGGAGTATATTACAATATCAATAATACATGATTTGATGTGATTTTGACTTATTTAGTGGCATGTATGTACTTGTGAATGGCATTGTTGCTATGTTGAAATATTTTGGAACTGATTTGTAAAAGCTAAACTAAATTGTTGTACTTTATTTCACTATGAATGGTATTAATCAGTATTATTATTATAAAGGGATGTATTTTATGATCATATATGTTTTAAATATACTCCAATAGTGTTATGTGAATTAATATTTTATATTTTAATTACAATTTGTAGAAAATGAATTTTAAATCACTTTTGAGTTAGGTAATGCTTTAAGTAATTCATGTGATATCTATAACTTGTATTGTTATAAGTATACGAGTCGTAAGTGATATATTTATTGTAATCAGAGCTACATGTTTAGTCGTTTTTGGATGTGGATTGGGTTTTAATTTAGTTAAGAATGTATACATGCCACTAGGATGTCAAAATTTTAATGGTAGTTGTATATATGCTATGATGCTTGTTATTTAGTAAAGTTACTCCTTATTAATGATAGATAATTTTGATTATGTTCAGATGTCGGATTATCATGAATCTAGTAGGGAAACCAAGCCTGTTATTCCTGCACAGAGTGGTAGTAATGAGGTGAATCAGAATCTACTTCTTAATCAGCCTAACGTGGAGCTTCCTAATATGAACCAGTATGATATATCTATGAAAGATCGATGATTATTCCTTCAGGTGTTGGATAATATAATTAATCATCGAACTCCGATGTCAGTTCTGAAAGAACTAAGGAAAATGAGAGCACCTTAATTTCGAGGCGATACAGATGTTGATCTAATAACTGCAGATTTCTGGTTAAATCATGTTAAGAACATGCTGAACAGGATCCCTTGTTACGATCAGGGAAAGTTAGAAGGGTTGTGTCTCTACTGATGGAGCAAGTCAATGTGTGGTGGAATACAGTCGTCGCACGAGTTCCTCCTGAATAGATCACTTGGGACTTCTTCCTGATTGAATTCAAGGAAAAGTACATTGGGGAGGTGTTTATCATTGAGATGATGCAACAGTTTATGAATCTGAAGCAGTTGGGCAGAAAAATATATGAGTATGAATGTGAGTTCCACAGATTGAGCCGATTTGCATCGGATTATCTTCCAACAGAGAAAGCAATAATTGATAGGTTTATTTCTAGATTGGATCCTCGTTACAGAAGGATTTTGGTTTCTCATCATTTTACTGCTTTCCAAGAAGAAGTAAACAAATCTAAAGCTATGGAGAACGTTGACTTTAAAGATCTAGAGGTGAAAAAGCCTCAAACAAGCAAAAGGTTTGGAAACTCTTACTCTGCGCCCTTTTTCAAATGCAATAAAGGTTAGCAACTGAAAAGTTTTGCCTTCTGAGCATCTACATGCATAAATGGATTTTCTAGAGCGAAGTCCAAGCAAAATCAAATAGCTTCGACAGGTACCCAAGGTTCGAGATTGTGTCATACTATAAAATATCAGTTCCATGGAAAGAGACATTATGGTCAGTGTTGGTTCACTGAAGGAAAATGATACAACTGTGGCAAGCTAGTCATTATAAAAGGCATTGTCCATATCTATATCCAAACCAGTCAGTAGTGGGACCCTATAAGGGCAGAGGTGGCAAAACAGGAAAACCATGTACATCTGAGGTTGTATCCAATCATGAAAGAAAGACTACTACTCGTATTTATCATATCAGGACTGTTGATGATCGAGATGCTCCTGAGATTATAGAAAATACCTTTTATCTCTTTGATGAACCTATTTTGTGTTGATAGATCCTGGCTCTACTTACTCTTATATTAGTGTAAGGCTGGTTAGAGACAGGGGAATCTCTTTAGAACCTATTTCTAGTGATATTGTGGCTATCAATCCACTGGGTCATAGTGCGAGGATTAGTCGGATATGTAAATCTTGTCCGATAAAGATATAGGGAGTAGAATTTCCTGTAAATCTATTAGAATTACCTTTTTAGAAATCCAAAATAATTTTAGGCATGAATTGGTTATCTTTCCATTCAGGTTGGGTAGATTTTTGTTTGAAGAGATTGTTCTTAAATGATGCAAAAGGTTCAGAGATAATATTTGTTGGAGAAATGGGAAATCCCTTATGCAATGTGATTTCAGCCTTTATTTGCTAAGAAATTGTTGTCACAAGGATGCCAAGCAATTTTAACGAATGTTGTGGATACAAGCGAGTGAAGTTAAGTTGGAAGACATTCCAATAGTTAGAGAGTATCCAGAGGTGTTTCCAGATGAGTTATCTAGATTACCTTGAGACAGAGTGGTGGGGTTTAGTATTGACGTATTTCTAGGTACAACTCCTATTTCGATGGCTCTTTATGGAATGACCCGATATAATTAAGGGAATTAAAGGATCAATTGCAATAGCTACTAGATCGAGGATTCATTAAACCAATTGTTTCACCTTGGGGAGCTCTGGTGTTGTTTTTGAAAAACAAAGACGGATCCATGCGATTATGTATATATTATCGGCAGTTTAACAAAGTGACTATCAAGAACAAGTATCCTCTTCCGATGATTGATCATTTGTTTGATCAGTTTAAGGGAGTAGCTTTTTTCTCTAAGATTGATCTGTGATTGGGATATCACTAGTTAAATATTAAAGAGGAAGATACATCAAAGATAGCTTTCAAGACACGGTATGGACATTACGAGTTCATGGTTATGTCGTTTGGTTTGACCAATGCTCAGGAAGCATTTATGGATTTGATTAACCGAGTATTTCAGCCTTACTTGGATCAGTTTATGGCGGTATTTATTGATGACATTCTAGTGCACTCGAGCATAGAGAAAGAGCATGATGTTTACCTACGTACTGTATTCCAAATCCTTAAGGAGAAAAAGTTAGATGCCAAGCTGTCAAAGTGTGAGTTTTGGATGTCGGAAGTTTCTTTTTTTAGCCATGTGGTCTCAGTAGAATGGATAAAGTTTTATCCTAAGAAATTTCAGGCGATACTGGAGTGGAAACCCCCAAATAATGGTGCAGATATTCGAAGCTTCTTAGGACTTGGTAGTTATTATCGAAGGTTCATGAAGAACTTTTCGATTATTGCTTCTCCACTGACCAAGCTATTGAGAAAAGATGTTCCATTTATTTAGAACGATAAGTTCCAAGAGAATTTTAAAACTCTAAGTAAGATTTTAACGAAAGCACTAGTACTGGTACTACCAAAATATGGTAAAGAGTATGTGGTATATAGTGATGCATCTTATAATGGTTTTAGCTCTGTACTAATGCAAGAAGGAAAGTTTGTTGCTTATGCTTCCAAACAACTAAAGACACATGAGATAAATTATCCCACACATTATATTGAGTTGGTAACAGTGGTATTTTCTCTAAAGATTTGGTGCCATTATTTGTATGGTGAGCGGTGCCACATCTTCACGAATCATAAAAGTCTAAAGTACCTGTTGACTCAAAGAGTACTAAACTTCAAACAAAGAACATGGATAAAACTTTTAAAGGACTATGATGTGGTCATTGATTACCATCGTGGGAAAGCTAATGTTGTAGCTGATGCACTTAGCCGAAAGACTTTTGCAGTTTTGTAAACTTTAGATGCGCACTTGTCATTAAAGGAAAATTGCACACTATTGGTTGAATTATGGATAAAGTTGATGCTTTTAGATCGGATAAAAGAACTACAAAAGAAATACGAGAGATGTTTGGAAAAGATTGCACAAGTGGAAAATGGTGAGATAAAGAACTTCGAAGTCAAGTTTGATGGATGACTGTATTACGGAGAAATAATCTGCATTCCATATGATGATGAGTTGAAGAAAAATATTCTTTCTGAGGCACATTATAGTCCGTTGACTATGCACCCATGAGGGAACAAGATGTATCAGGATTTAAAGAGTCGGCATTGGTGGTCAGGTATGAAAAGAGCCATCACTGAATTTGTTGCTACATGTTAGACATGTCAACAAGTAAAAGCTAAACATCAAGTGCCTTTGAGATTCTTGCATTCGATTTCAATTCCAGAGCATAAGTGAGAAAGAGTTACTATGGATTTTGTTACAAGCTTAAATTTGACATCAAATATGAATGATTCCATTTGGGTGATAGTTGATTGATTAACTAAGTCGACACACTTCATTCCAGTGCAAATGGACTATTCATTAGATAAGTATAAGTATACAGAGTTGTATATTAAAGAGATAGTTTGACTATATGGAGTGCCAATATCAATCATATCCGACAAGGATCCAAGGTTCACATCAAGATTTTGGAATTCTTTGCATAAAGCTTTGGGTACTCGATTAAATTTCAGTGCGACCTTTCATCCCCAGATGGATGGTCAGTCAGAGCGGACTATCCAGATATTAGAGGATATGCTAAGGGTATGTGTGATTGAGTTCAAGGAATTGTGGGAAAAGTATTTTTGTTTAGCAGAATTTACCTACAGCAACAGTTATCAATCAAGCATCAAGATGGCTCCATACGAAGCTTTTTATGGGAAAAAGTGTCAAACACTGTTAAAATGGTTTGAGTAAAAAGATCATAATTTTGTTGGCCCTAATTTATTGAAAGAAATCGAGGAAAAAGTGAGGATAATTAAAGATAATATCAAGATAGCATCTGATTGGCATATGTCTTATGCAGACTTGAAGAGAAAAGAGATTGAATTTCATGAAGGTGATAAAGTCTTTCTTAAAGTATCCCCTTGGAAAAAGATATTGGGTTTTGGGTGCAAAGAAATATTAAGTTCAAGATTTATTGGGCCATATGACATATTAAAGAGAGTTGGACCGGGGGCCTATCGTTCGCATTACCTCTGGAGTTGGGCAAAGTTTACAATGTTTTTCATGTGTCAATGCTTAGAAAGTATTAGTAAGATCATTCACAAGTCGTTGCACCGGAGGAAATTTAGATCCAACAAGATTTGACTAATGAAGAAGAACCAATGTAGATTTTCACTCGAGAAATCATATAATTACGTAACAAGAAGATTCCTCTAGTTAAAGTGCTTTGGTGAAATCATAAAGTTGATGAAGCCACTTGGGAAAGAGAGAAGGACATGCAGAATCAATATCCATACCTCTTCACTTCATATATGTATTAAAATTCGAGGATGAATTTTATTTACGGGAGAGAGTTGTAATACCCCAAATTTTGGTTAGTGACCAAAATGTAAATTTTGAAAGTTTAGTTGTAACCCCCTCAGATCGATGCGGGTAACCCGATCTGATCTGGAGTGTCACATTAGGGCCACCGGAGCGACCCACTATAAAAATAGTAGAAATTTTAAAACTTTTAATAAAACATATACTTATAAAATGATTTATCAGTATACAAAACTAAAACAGATTTTCAGACTCATATATAAAACAAAATACAATTACATGCCCCCTAATCACGTGTAACGTACTCTGCAAACAACACCAGAAGAACTCCTTTACTGAAGTCGATAGTTGCACTGGTATAATTCTTTTAGCCTGAAAAGATGAGTAACAGAGTGAGCTTTGGAAAATTCAGTAATACAGAACTATCTAATGATGCTGAAGAACGTGCAGATACATATAAACATATATTTACTTATTGGTTCAGATATCCACAAATTTTTAGGCTGAGCGGAGATCCTACTGATATTTCAGACGGTAACGGATAATGAGCTTTCAATTCAGAGAAATATTTTGGATGTTTAGGTTCAGGAGATTATAATAGGTTATCTAGTGTGTTCTCGTAAAACCAGTAAAAAGATACAGATCTTTTTAAAACATATATATATACACCCCCATCATTTCACAATCTATTTGTGTAGGTTCCCCGGAACCATACACCCCGCACAACCAGTGAGGCTCTGAGCACACAGCCGAGAAGCCTGCAGATATACTTCCTCCAACAATAAACTCCCCATATAAAACATTTCTCTGTTAGTAAACGGAGATATCATAAATCAAAACAGAATTCAAATCAAATATCATAACAAAATCCAGATTAAAAATCAGAACAGAATTCAGGTAATGTATCAGAACAGAATTGGAGTCGGAAATCAGATAAAATATTTATGTGATTAGGGAACACACCAGAGTTTTTGGATATTATTCAGAGGTATAGGATAATCTTAACAGGAAGAGACACGGATCTTCAGTATACCAATAGAATGTCAGAATTTAGAATCACTATTGGAAGAGTTCAATAACTGACGGAATCATCAGTTATTCAGAATGTGACTTGAGCTAATAAGGAAGAACTAAGATTCAGAACCTTTATAATCTATGTTGATTGATTGGATTATCGAACACCTCCAGATGAATAGCTCCCAGAACTAATACTTGTCAACTTGTTAATTCATTAACCTTCCAGGGTATTTACTGTTTAATACCAAATATTCTTATCCATAGATCATCTTCTGAGTCATCACTGAACATATCTTAAGGAGACGAACAAATATTCTAATGGTCTTTATTTCATTTCCATGGTTCAACTATATAAGAAAATGCCAACGTACTTGATTTATGGTTCATAATCCATAAGGATAATACATCACATAAGTTCATTCGAGTTTTCAGGCTTATTCCAATCTCTTACTTAATCCACAGTGCTTGAGATTACCTAGTTCATTTAGCAGTCAAGTCTATTCCAGCCACTTTTGGATTTTCCAGAGTAATTCAGACGTTTCTGAATTTTAGATACATATTGTACTTCCGTTCAATTCAATTTTTTCTTCGTAGTTGATTTGTCGAACAAATGTCCAATTCTTAGTACTGAATGCGATCTATAATTGAGTTGAGCTAAATACTTCCAAAATTATCATGGAGCCAAACTTGAGAATATGAACATGCATTCAAGTAATATTTATGTCATTTAGGTACTGACATATCATTAAGGTTGATCAGCTCACTTAAGTTGTGTTCTATAACTTTTAAGGGTATTACAATACTCATATTTACTTGGATTCCTTAATTAATCCAAAACATCTACTCAGTCTAGGCCATAAGGGCATTTTAGTCATTTGAGTGCTCAATGTTTTTCCATCTATTTCAAAGCTTAAAGATATCCATTCATTCCTGGCTTGGCAATATTCTTGGTCATTTGTATTCTAAGGTTATTCTGGTTATTTTATAGATCTATTGTAGTCCAATAATTCATTTCGTCTGATCATATTATTAAATTCAAACTTATCATTTATGTCATTCCCATCGAACTATTCTGACATATCCGATGTATTTCAATCATTTACATCCATCTGATCTTATTATTTAATTCAAACATATCATCTTTTCCAGCCTTTTTGAATAGTTCTGACAAAAGAAACACTCTTGATAATTTATTCTCAAATCAGATATTTCCAAGTTAAAAGTCTTTTCAGATGTTACTAACGAATTATCAGGAATTTTCCATACAAAGGTATGTCTAAACAATCAAATCAATAATTTATCGGTTTAAGTAGAAATTCTCATGTTACTTTCCCATTCAGAGTCAACTCCGACTATTTTTACCTTTCAAGGGCATTTTTGTAATTTCTTAACCAAATAATTTCGGTATTAACTCTTAACAAAAATAATTATAATTTAGAGATCCTATGGTCAATTGCTTTCCCGAACATTCTCTTATCTTGAAATGATTCATTAACAGACTTCTAATATCTTGCACAAACCCTCTTGGGGTTAAAAATCGATTATCCAAGTTTTCCAAGCAAAACTAGCATTTCTTATGCACATCTGTAAATTTATCAGATCAATATTCCATTTCAGAGTTATTAATCAACTTCAAGGGATAATTCTTGACATTTTACAACATAAGGGTATTTTCATAATTTTACCCTACCAGAATATTCTCATAATTTCTCATCCAAGTACCTTTAACATTTAACCTTTGATGAAATAAAATATAAGTTACAGATCCATGTTGATTTCTTTATCACTAAGCACAGAACTTGTAATTTAATTATAACAATCACTCAATTTCTTATAAAATTCATCTGAACCATAATCAATTACAGAACCTTTTTACCGTATTCAGATCGAGTGTAGAAATTAATTAACTACACAAATGAGACCAATATTATCTTAATCATGCATTTACCAATATTCACATGTTCCATAAAGCATAAAGAGGTAGTAAAGTATTACCTCGATTTTTGTGCCATGCT